TCCAGATGCTGAGGGAGAGACCTGAGAACCCAGCGAACGTAGCTACACCCGCCGGGGGGCTCCCAGGCCTCTAAACTTGCCATCAGGTCTACGCCCCCCGGGTACCGTATACGCAAGGGTGACCTAAGTCTGCAGTGGCAGGTGGGGGCTGATAAAAATCGTCCTGTCGTGTCAAGCTTCTTCCAAGACCCAGGACTCCAACCACAAGGCGACTTAGGCTTCGCTTCCCCTTCCTGCACCCGGAGCACAACAATTAGGCCCGAAGACCCGGGAGAGGGAGCGCGCAGGTTTCAAGTCTGCTCTCCCGTGGCCTTATTTCCGACAGAAATCCCAGTAAGAGGAGAAAATGTCCAAAGACGTAATCACAAGCTCAAGCGAAATACGCGCAGCACTCCCTCGAAGGGTGGGAAGCTAGATACCGTTTCTGCCCGTGCGGATGGGCTCCCGTTCAGGGGAGAGCCTGAGAGCGGGCCCACTATGTAGGGGTTGGGGGTGGTGTTAGGAATGTGAACTGCTTCCGAAGTCCCGGCGACTCCAGACAACAGGGCTCAGATGGTAAGAAAAGATGACTTCGCTCACAGAAGAGCTGGGTCCGGGCCAGGAAGGCTGTGTGGCAGGCCCGAGATCAGTTTCAGATGGAGAGGTTGTCACCTAAGCCAGGTGGGACTCGGAACTCTCCTTGTGGTACCCAAGTCCAGAGCTGCCTGCTCCTGGGAGCCGGAGCTGGGCCCAGCCAAGGGCATTCAGTGAGCATCAGTCCAGGAGAGCAGGACTCTCGCACTACACAACCATTTTCTCTCTCTCCCCCCGTCTCTCTCTGTTTCTCTCTCCCACACATAGTCTCCATCCCGAGCTGGAAGACTCTTTCTTTCTCATTCGTGTTTTGATGGTCATGGGTTTGGGAGGTTGCACCAGTACTTGACCTTGGAGAACTTATCCGAGAACCTCTTTCTTACAGACCTGCTCATCTCACATTGGCTTGCACCCTCTGGGAAAACTGCCTTGCCCATGAGCTTTCTGATCCTGTTTGGGGAAAACAGAACATTGCCCCAAAAGTAGGGAAAGACCAAGAGGGTGTGAGACCCACTTTGCCAATAAGAGAAATCCATCAGCTTGATGGTGTCTAGGCACTTCTCTCTGAGGCAGCCCTCTCCCCATCAGCAGCAGGTCCTATTCTTATAAAGACAGCCTAGTTCGAGTCCTATCCTCATCTATAAAGAGATTTAGTAATAAAACACACCATTCACTGCCCCTTTTGGGGATTTAAAGGCATTACTTCAAACCTTCCTCTAGGTTCTTGCTACCTAGAGGTCAGATCTCAAATCCTAATCCAGGCCATGGTTCAAAGTGATTTGAACCATGTTCTAGTGTAATCAAATGATAACTTTATTTGAGCTAATTATGCAAACTGCTTTATGCAAATAAAGAAAGAGAGAAAAGAAAGGATGCATTGTGTTGTTCAGTTTCATAGGATTTGAGAGATATAACTTGGAAATTGGTAAATGTTAAATTTGCACGTGTATTGGTAATAAGCAGAGAATTTCTGAGCCCAGGTGTACTTTGCAAGAGTTTAAGCTACCTTTTTTTCATTTGAATGTTTATTTGTTTGCTTGTTTGAACCTGGGAGGGAAAATGGAAGAAAGATAAGGAAGCTAAACATAAATGCTAGAGGTTTTTTTTCCCCCGTAAATTGCAAGAGAAGATATCTCTAGAGATAGACATCAACTGGTTATGTAAACATGAATTTAAGAGTAAAAGTGCACTTAGAAATTTAGAACACCTCTTTTTTAAATTGGGATATAATGCTGCCATTGGAGATGGGAAGATGGAAGTCTGGGGCTTGCTCATGGGCTAGGCATTCATGTAGGTGTAGCTCTCACAAGCTAAATTGTCTTCACATGGCAAGGCTTCAGATTAAAGTCTGGCCTTCAAATCCTCCTTTGCTAAGGTGCATTTATGTGATAGCAAGCCCTAAGCAAACATTCATGCTCTGTTGGCACTTCTATTCCTAAGCCTTAAAAAAAAAAAAAAAAAGCCAGTAGTGTGGAGTCATCTCATTTGCAATCATGTGTCCTCAGCATTATCATAAAGGTTATTCAATCATATTGGGAACTAGATTATGATGTCAGAAAAATATCCTTCTCAGAAAGGTATATATTGAGGGCATATTTGAGGAGAATCTCAACTGAGAGTAATATTCAGGGCAGCTTTAGAAGACAGACCTGCTTTCTAATAATTGCCTTGAGTGAAAACAGAAGTCTCCTTACAGGAAATTTTTAATTCATTTAAGACTTAATTTTACTTTTTTGAAGAACAAAAAAAAAAATTATTTCTGGAAGAGACTGCTGCGAAGATCTCCCTCCTTTGGCCAGAGAAGCAGAGAAGACTGTAAATCAAGGAAAAGGTGAAGTAATAAATTATGAGGAAAGCTTTGGTATTCCAAGTATATAAAGACTATTTATTTTTCCTGTGTCTATATTTTCTTTTTTTGTAGAGGAGAGGAAATTCTAAAAATATTTGATAGATGTTTTGCCATTAACACCAGAAAAGTGTTGGGGGTGGGGGGAGAGGGAGGGAGGTCAATTTTGTTTAATTAGTAGAAAAAGCAACATAAATCAAAGCAGTCTATTGAGGCCAGTCTTTAATTTATAATGTTATGAGAATATAATGAATTTATTTACAGTATAAGTGATTTAATATTTTCAATCTGATTTTTGTTTTAACCTTTTTTTGGGAGAGGTTTGACTTTTTAAAGCCTGGATAGTTTGAAACTTGGCTAAGCACCTCTGGGTTTTTTATTGTGGAAGCAAATATTATCATTTTAATGTTAAACAACTTGCAAGTATTAAATAGCTCATTTGTGATTTACTTTTTTACAGATTCCCCCCCCCCCCCTTCAGATCTAACGATTACATTAAGGCTTCTGCATCCTTTTGGAAAGAATTTATTATAAATCAGAAAGTGTTAGATGTTCAAAGATTAACATTTCTGAGTGCTGATACTTCATCTTTTCATGCCTTGCAAACAGGTCTAACATTTAGAAATTCTTAAACGTTCAAGGGAAGTTGTGGAAATTCCCAGTTTTTTTTTTAAGCTGGAGGAAGCCAAGTTTTTTTTTTTTTTTTAAGTGTGAAGTTTAAAGCAATCAAATGAGGGAGATAGCAGCTTCTGAGAAGGGGTGACACCCACCCAACTTAAGTAGCAAATGTTTGATAAAGCTAGTTAGCTGGCAGCTGATGGTAGGGAAACGGAGCAGAGAGAGGGTCAGTGAGAGGGCGCTATTCCACCCAACCTTGGTGAAATTTGTGGACCATCAGCCAGAAGGCCAGGCTTGATAAAGGTCAGGCTCAAATCATCTCACATCTCTAAGTCACACTAGCCTTCTACAGAGTATTGAAACCTACCAGTGGGATTGTCTGTCTCGAAGACAAACATCTCTTGAATGGTTCCCAACCACTCGGGTTCATTTCCGAAAGATAGAGCTGAGTCCGTTGGGCGGGCGTTCACATCCGCTGCAAGCCCTCCCTAGACGATACCGCCCGGTAATTCAGAGCAGTCCTTCTTCCCCGCCCAACAGTTTAAGGAAGAAACCCCTGCTTTCCCTTCGCTTCTCCGAGGCATAGCGGCTTAGAGCAATAGCCCCGCTGCTTCTGCGGGCTGAAGCGACACGGATAGACATCCTAGAATATGTAACAGGGGACGCGGGAGGGGGATGCGGGGAACAGTAGGTTATCGGCGCGGAAAGGGTGGGTTCGATTCCTGACGGTCGTGTGCGCTCCGCAGGAGTGTCGGTCCCCCTCCGCAATTCAAAACGGGGTCTCCATCCTGTGAGCCGGCTTTCTTGGACGGGCTCCAGAAGTCCTCAGCTGTACTGAGACACTTAGAAATGCCATCTCGACCTGAAGTCTGAAACCATTTTTACCATTCTAAGCGAAGGATTCCCCCATCCTTAGCCAAAGCTCCCCACTCAGCTTGTTCCAGGAAAGGGCCGGGGAGGAGGGTTCCCACCGCGCTTCCCGAGCCCCCCAGGCGGGCTTAGGGCTCCTGTAAGGCACTGGCCCAAGGCCCGCGACCTCCCCGCCGAGGATGCCGGGCGCCCGGGCTCTCCGCCCCGGCTCCTCGGCCTCTTCCTTGCCGACCGCCCCCGGCGGCCTGGGCGCCCGCGCGTCCCGCGGGACTCGGCTGCAGCCGCGCGCCGGCGGTCGTGGCTGCCCCCGGGCGGTCCGCACACCCTCAGGACTTGGGCTGGCTGATCCGCCGAGGGGTCCCGGGCCGGAGGGACCGGGCGGGAACGTGCGGATCCGCTCCCGGTCCCGGGACAGAGCGGCGGGGTCAACGCTCCGGGGTGGGGCTCGGCCGAGCTCGGGGCAGCGCCGGGGGCGGCGGGCCTGGGGTGGGAGGGGGGCGCCCGGCCGCCGGCTGAGCCCCCGCCCACCCATCCCGGACGCCTTAGGTCTGGATCCGGGGCGGGGGGAGGTCCGGGCCTAATCCAGGGCTGTGTCCCGAGAGGGGTCCTGGAAAGGCCCGGCCCCGCCCAGGGGCTGATGCCGGTGCCTGGACCTGGTGTCGGGGTGAGGGCAGGCGGGCGGCCCTGGAGGGGTCCCCGCACCCCTCACCCACCCACCCACCTAGCCGAGGCTCCCCGGCCGCACCTCGCCCCTGTTCTCGCTCACCTTTTCACACAGCGTCCGGACTTGGTTCTCGTTGAGCTGTTTACACTCGTTCAGCTGCTCGACCCACTGGTCCAGGTCCTTAGTGAACGCCTTGTCGTCCATGGCGGCCCCCGCCCCCCGCGCGCCCCCGCCCTCTCTCGGCCCGCGCGCGTTCCTAGGGCGCCACCTCTTTGCGACTCGCTCACTTCTCCGGCAGGTTTCCCTGCGAGCGTGTGAACATTGCCCAGCTCGGCTTTCAACTCGCTTCCAACCTGCACCGCCCGGCCAGCATGCCTCCCCGGCCGTGAAGCGGGGCCGCCACCGCCCCTCCGCGCCGCTGGTAACCCGCCCTCGCCGCCACCTGGCCCTCCTGATCGACGACACACGCACTTAAAACTTGTTCTCAGGGTGTGTGGAGTCAACTTTCCGGAAGCAACCAGCCCACCAGAGGAGGTAGACAGACAGCTAGGTATATATATGCGGGTCTTGCTACAAGTGGCTCTGAAACAAGCCGGCCTAGATCGCAGAGAAGCTGACTTCGGAGCGGGAAACTTCCTTCTGTTTTTTAGGAAGGAGTTAGCCCTGCTCCCCGAACCCCGGATACTGCCGGCCAGATTAATTAGACATTGCTATGGGAGACGTGTAAACGCGTTGCTCATCATTGATACGTATATAAAACCATTTCATTTCGGTTATTATTTCGGAGGAGGCGCCTCTGATTTTTTCTTTTCTTCCCCTTTTTTCGGTCCCTTTTTTGCCTGTGTGGTTTGGAAAAAACACAGTTGGAGTAGCTGATTCCTAAATAAGTAAGTGCCGGGAGACTCCAGTGAAAGTTGGCTTTTTTTTTTTTTTTTTTTTTTTTTTTGCAACTTGGGAGATGCCCTTGAAGTTGAAGACGCTCTCTTCGAGCAGGCTGAAGGGGGGCAGCGGGGTTGTGCGGGGAGATGGAGGTCCCAGACTGACACTTTGGGCCCCTTTCCTCTCCGTTGCAGGTCCCCAGAGCGAGAGGATACGATGCTGTGGAGGCTAGTTCAGCAATGGAGCGTCGCGGTGTTCCTGCTGAGCTATTCGGTGCCCTCCTGCGGGCGCTCGGTGGAGGAGCTCGGCCGCCGACTGTAAGTGCCCGATCCTCCCCAGGGCGCCGGGTGAGGGCTGGGGAGGCCAGGGGGAGAGGTCACCAGACTGGGGCGCTGCCGAGGGCCCTCCGCGGTCATGGATGCTCTTCGCCCGGGTTATAACGCGGCGAGATCCGCTACCTGCCCGGAGCTGAGCCCGGGTCCTCAAAGCCGGCGGGAGAACTGGGTAAAACCTCAGCCGGAGACAGGCAAGAGACAACTTTCATGTGTTTCCATGAGAGGGAGCGATTTACTGATTCTTCTCTAGCAAAAGTTCTTCTACTGAGAGAAAAGGGTAATTTTCAGAACCTGGGAAGATTCTGAAACCTGAGGATTGCAAAAAGCTTAAGATAACTCGCAGGAAGTTGAGGTATCCAGGCGGCATACGTCTGTGTGTGTGCACTTGTATACGTACATACTGAATGTGGGTGGCAGGTTTTGTTTGAAAAGCAAAAACTTTACATCTAATTTTATTATGAATGACATAATTTTAAGCATATAAAATGGACCACATTACATAATGTAGGCATATTATATAATGAAGTAGTAACAACTTTGCAATGGCACAACTCCAACATCGGTATTGATACAGTTTAAGAACGCTAGGGTGCTCAATTCCAAATGAGGATTAGGTGTGGAAACTTCCCCCCCCCCCCCCACCTTGGAAGTATTGCTAACAGCCCTTTAATCTGGAGTCAAATATTTGCATTGTAGACTGAAAATCTGTTATCTTGGCATTTTCACTTGGTGATTCTTTCAGGATAATTTTGACTTTAATCATACATCAAAGCACACCAGAGAAATAGCACCATGTTGTGTGACTGAAAAGTTGGAAGAGTGGGAAAGTAACACTAGCTTCATAATCCGTTGGACCCAGCAGTTTATGAATGTATGTAATACCATCTTTGGGTGATCTTTAAGCTGCCCTCTCAGTGTCCAGGATGGGAAAACCAGAAAGTTTGAGAACTGAGACGAGTTTGCCTCTGGTGAAGGAATTAAGGGGAACTTTTACAATAACAATAAAAATAGCAATATCTAATATTTACAATCAGGTTCCTGGTGCTTCCTTGTAAATTCCTGAGGGTGTACCAAAAGGCAACTTTTTATATGTGCCCTTGGTCTATTATTATTAAAGCAGAAAATCCTTAAATGAAATTACCTTAGACATGTCTGAACCTTGGCACCGAAATGGAAATCTATTATGAATCTCCTAAGGCAAATTGTGTAGAACATTGTACTGAAGATAAAGCTGCATTGTATTCTTCAAATCAAGATTTTGCTGATGTATTTCTGGAAATTGTCTTCAGATTATTTGCTCATTTTGAGACTCATATTTAATTATGTAAAATCCATATATAAATATAAATGAAGCCTAAAATTTTAAAAGCACACTTAAATACTGTATTTATTTGGCCAAGAAATACTGTCTTGGAACAGAGCCAATTTTTTTTTCTTTACAGTTGCTTAAGAAATACCTGTTTTCTCTTTTGAGAAACAGTAAATTGACCATGATTAAATCTGCAGTTATGGCATTAAAATGGTGCTAAGTTCGTTTTAGAGTCTATTTTTAACTCTTTCCTTGTTGCACCTTGCAAAATACACATCAGAAACCACTTAGCAGCCAATCTCTGTTATAGTTTTGTTTGTGGGTGAAATATAATATTGCAGTTAAACACTCACACTCAGCAGATGGTTATAAAACTACCACAAAACATTCTTATAGTTAATGGCTAATAGATCATCACATTACAGCCATGGTTTTTCATGGAGGCTGAAATCATCAGCAGATAAAGAAGTTTCATCAAATTATTACAGCCAAATGGAGTTTTTTTTTTTTTTAAAAAAACAAGTCATTTATTTTTGCATTATTGCCAAGTAACAGTACATTTTTGTGTGCTAGACAAAACATTAGTCTGCTATTACAATAAATCAGCATAGTATCTTAAAAGAAATTTTAACATATAATCAAATCATATTACTCCCCAATTACTTTTCACACCAAATATTAGGGAATCTGCTTTAGACATTTTCTAAATAAGGGCTAACTTTTAAAGGAGAGGAAACTACTACAACAGTAACAATTCCCAGGCTATGGCAATATAAGTTGTGAATCTTCTGGACCTGTGAGTCTAAAAGGACATGACTCAGTGAGGCTGTGTTAGTCCCTCAGTCGTGTCCAACTTTTCGATCCCATGGACTATAGTCCACTGGCTCCTCTGTACACAGGATTTCCTAGGCGTGAATACTGGAGTAGGTTGCCAGGTTGAAGATCTCCAGGGGATCTTCCCGACCTAGGGATCAAAGCTGGTTCTCCCGGATGGCAGGCGAATTCTTTACCGTCTGAGCCACTAGTTGGAGATCTATGGACATTCTCGTCCAGATGAACAGGGCTTCCGGCAGGTGACAGTCTCTGTGTTTGAGTTAGAGAGAGAACCCCAGCAGATTCAGAAACCTAAAACATCACTGACTGATATGCTTAGGAGCCAGACTGGGTCTCTTCCACTTAATGAAAAGCATAACTTCTGACTGAGTCATTTGGGTTGGAAGGGACTTCTGATGAGTCATCTTAACTCTAACACCCTGACCCTGACTCTTCCATGGACCACAGAACTTTTCTTCTCAAACCCAGACTCCTTCCTCTTAGGAGCCTAGCATCAGCACGAGCATGCTGCCTCTTCCTGTGCTGAAAAAAGGAATTCCCATCACTCCAGCTCTTCCCTGTGTTCCTTGAGAGCTCCTTAGAAATTTAATCTTCTTCCCCGAAAACTCCCTAGAGAGTGATTTTTAAAGACAGAAAAGCTATATTTTGACTGAATTTAGAATTATCTGTGTTAAGTGTTTCCTTCACATTTTTTCTTTTTAAAATAATAATCAAAGGAAACCGTGAACATAGGACACTTGTGCTTCAATGTTGGGGATGTAATAAATGCCATGTGGACCATCGTACAGGTATACCATGTGTATAGATGTGTACAGATATGCCATGTGTACGGATATACAAAGTGACAGACTATTATTGAGGCCATATTTATAACTTAAGTACTTCAGAATTATCTAAAGTGAAAGCCTCCCTCTTGGAAGGAATTGCCCACCACCCGTGTACATCTAGTTTGTACATGCTAGTCATTTACTCTTGGCTCAGTTAATGTCTTATTTGGAAAATAAATAGAACACTCATGGACCTGATTCCTTGTTGACAGGATAGATACTATGCTATTCCTGATCCTCTAATGCAGTTGCTCAACCAGAAAGTTATTCTTCACAATATTTTGAATGCAGAAGTCTTTGAACTAGTAAGTAAATTATGCTACAGCATTTCAGATTTGGCATTTAAGAACTTCTGTATTTTCTACTATGTTAATAATTACCCCCTAAAGGCAGAATGAAGCTTTGTACCTCAACAAGAGATGTACTACTTTGAACTGGACAAAGTTGTGCCATATTGTAGGCTTTTTGTAAAACAGAAGGATAGAATGCTCACTCCATTTCCCATGAGAACCATCCTGGGAAAGTGCAGTGCCCGAGCTAGGAAGGCACTGTGACTCACACTTGACAGGCTATCCAGGATGACAGGCATATATGCCAGTCAGAGGAGGCATGAGCAATGGAGACTTGATTAGAACAGACCAACTATTAAAAGTTTGGCTTCAAGGTAAGCTAGAATGGGCTGTATTATACATTTGGAGAGCAATACAGATGAGTGGCTATCTGCCAGGAATTGAGAAAGTAATAAAAGCTCCAAATAGTAAAAATGATCATGTGTAAGAACTTCTTCTTAACTTGACATTTTGCTAAGAGATACTTATGAAAGTGTAATACTTATGGAACATGTAAGTGTACCGGTCCTGGTCTTGAAAACAGTTATTAGACAATATAAATCTATTGTAGCAAAGCCTCCATGTAGGTCATTAAAAGTTTCCAGGATACTAACTATTGCCACAAAGTAAGTGAATTTTAATCTGGTCACATGTGGCACCTTCCAAAAGGAAGAGAGACTCCTTCATGCCTCATTTAAACCAGGCTCCTGTTAAATTCCTTTCCATTAAGTCATGTCTTTTTTGCACAAGCTACATGGCTTAAAGTCAGTGCACACAACTGAAATGCTGAAAGAGAGCTGGTATTCTGGCTATAAGTCCAAGAAATAATGACAGTTTCCTTGGTTTCCTCTTCTTGGACTCACAATATAACTAGACAGTCTGTCATTCCCTCAGTGATAATACAGACTCTGGGAATCCTGGTTCTTTATTTTGGTGATGAAAATGTACTTGGGACAAGCAGCTTGGTCTTCTAAGAAGCAGATAAATTGCTGTCCATTTGTCCATTGTCATGGCTCTCAACACAGACGACTCTGCCCTTCCCTTCTAGTTTCCTAAACATACACTTCAGTAAGAGAAAGGGTTGGGGAAGTTGGAAAACAGTCTTGGTTTTAGAATCAGGAGACATCATCTTTGGAGCACCCTGGTTCTACCTGTTCTTATCATGTGAGCAAGTGTGAAGTCTTTAATCTCTGAACCTCACTTTCCCAATCTGTAAAATGAAGAGTTTTGTTTATTCTCATATTTCTCTGAAGAGTTAAATAAATTGTATCAATGAAGGTAATAAGTGACCAGATAAATCTATCATTGTGTTGGGGAGGAAAAATACACAGGATCCAGCCCTGTGAAATGCCTTCAGAAACTTTTTAAGTTGAGCCACTTTGGAGGGTTATTTCAATGGTAGAAATTCAAGTTATGTGAAGTATGGTTGTAGCAGATATAATATGACTGCTTCATGTATGTAATCCCTAAATTTGGTTAATACATACAGAATAATAAAAGAATACATGAATTGCATTTAAGCAAGAGTCAGGGTGTCATCTAAAAAGATTGATAGAAAAAATTTTTTTCACTCTGTTTTCATTAGAGTGTTGTTTAATAGAAAAACCACTTCATATTTTTGCCCAGAGATATTTCTAGGACAAAGAAGAAATAGAAAAGTGAATTTCCTAATTATACCCTAAGGATAATACCTTTGAAATTCTAAATTAAAAAGAAAAATGATGCACAGAGGAAATAGAATGATCTCACTTAAACACACAAAGACAGCCATTTTAAAGAGACCACCCACTACTTTACAGAAAAATTTATGCAGGCTCTGACAGTTGGCCTTCACATATAGGTTCTTGGTAGCCTATAGTCTAATATCAATCATGTCCAAATTCAGTGTGTTAGTCAGATGGTTTCCTAGACAGACTTCACAGCTCACTTCATCCTTCAGACTTTGTTTGCTTTTACTAGTAGAGCTTGCTGTTTTTTGAGATTCAGTATTATTATTATTTTCTTAAGTGGGGATCAGTGTGTGTGCCTGCACGCCTGCTTGTGCACATGTATGCACGCTCGCTCATGCACACCTATGCCTGGAGTGAGTACTTAGGGGAAATCAGCCACCTTTTTGTTTCCCAGACTAGTACGTTTTATTTGCCCAACACAACTCCAAAAACCATGAAAAGAAGCTCAGTGGTTTCTGTCCGTATTTTTGAAACAATGACGCTTAATAGTTAAAATTGAGAAGAGAGCATAGCCATTGTAGAATCTGATCTTTTTAAAGATCAGATTTAAAAAGATGGGGCCCCAGAGGCCCAAGAATGTTCATGTTCTCAGCAAGGTCACCGACCTGGGGAGCAGTACAGTTGAGACTCAGGCTGGAGCCTCCTAAAGGCCAGCTCCTCCCTTCCCATCTCTCCCTTCCTTGCCCAGCCAGCTTGCAGCCGTGTAGCTTAGCTTGTGGGACCAACTAGACCGTTCAAAGGCTTTCCCCACGTCTTTGTGGTCTCGGTCAGATATTAAACTGTCACTGTCTTCTTCCTCTCCTGCTCTTTTCTCTTCACAGCAAAAGGGCTGTGTCTGAGCACCAGCTCCTCCATGACAAGGGGAAGTCCATCCAAGACTTACGGCGTCGGTTCTTCCTCCACCATCTGATCGCGGAAATCCACACAGCCGAAATCAGAGCTACCTCGGAGGTGTCCCCCAACTCCAAGCCTGCTCCCAACACCAAGAACCACCCTGTCCGATTTGGGTCTGATGATGAGGGTAAATATCTGACTCAGGAAACTAACAAGGTGGAGACATACAAAGAGCAGCCACTGAAGACGCCCGGCAAGAAAAAGAAAAGCAAGCCTGGCAAACGCAAGGAGCAGGAAAAGAAGAAACGGCGAACTCGGTCAACCTGGCTGACCTCAGGCGTGACTGGGACTGGGCTGGAAGAGGACTACCTATATGACATCTCCGCAACATCGCTGGAGCTCAACTCACGGTAACCAGCTTCCCGGCCCCAACCCCTGCTCGGTGCCCCGAGTACAGTGTGGAGACCACTCTACCCTGGCTTGCACAGACCGAGAGTCTCCTATCTGTGCCTCTGTCCATCACGCCATGGTTTAGAAAGGTTGCAAAACCAAGATGGCTCAGAATATTGCCTGCCTTAAGGCAATGTCCTCCTAGCCCCTCAACACACAAGGGGTTTAATCACTCGCTTCTTTCTCCAGCAGCAAACCCCAATACCAATCCTTTAATACTCTACTAACAACTTTTCACTTTCATGCACTGGACAAGGAAATGGCAACCCACTCCAGTGTTCCTGCCTGGAGAATCCCAGGGACGGGGGAGCCTAGTGGGCTGCAATCTATGGGGTCGCACAGAGTCGGACACGACTGAAGTGACTTAGCAGCAGCAGCAGCAACAACTTTTATCTTTTTCCTCAAGCTGTAGAAGCTTGTGCACTTTAACCATTTGTTAAAGAACTGTATTTATTTCCCCCACTCTTATACCAAGTCGAACTTTATGATTATTTTTCTTTCTTTTTTTCCCCTTTAAGGGGAAAACAAACAAACAAACAAACGAAAGAAGGCTTTGATATGATCTACAAACACTAAAGAAAAATATCCTACCATGAACAACTAAACTTATTTAATTAAAAATTAATTTCATGTGATTAAATTTAAAACTTTATACACAGACTTTGAATTTATTTAATTGAATTTAACTCTGTTTTCTACCAGTTCACGAAACAAAAATCATGATTTCTGAAAATTTCTAAGTAAAGATTGGGAAGGATGTAAGTTTTTCTTATGTACCTATTTGTACACTGACAAGCTGATGTACTTTCTATAGGGTTTTGTAGTAGGAATAATAAAGCCACATCTATGTGGCTTGTTTATCCTTAGCTCACAGCTTTTCACGTTCACAGATTTTGGAGCCAGAAACCCTTAAGTTCAAGTCTTGGGTTTGAATTTATTGATGTTCACAACCTTAGTCTTTCTAAGACAGATTTCCTCTTCTGTAAAGTGAAGGTGGTACTTGTGCCAACCTCACTGAGTCAGGTGAAGATTAAATGAGATTACATGGGTTAAATGCCTGTCATAGAGTAAATACTCAGTAAATTGTAGCTTATTATTGTTTAGGTGCTTTGAGATTTTATTCTGGCTCTACCATCCATCCATCCATCTCTCTATCTAAGTATGTGTGTTTCTGTGAGGCAAAAAGGGGGTAAGTATTCACCTCATTTTAGAATACAATTTGAAAACCAAAGCCTTCCACAGGTAAAGGCCTGGAAACAGGGAGTGGTGGTCCTCAGAACTTCTTTATTTCCTTTCTTGACACTTAGGCAAGCACTGTGCTGGTGCTGCTCTTTACCTCTGCATTTCCACTGATGGGATCTTTTCGTTTTTTACTTTTCAGTACAGCCCTTCTGGGGGGTTAAAAAAAGGGGGGTAAACAACACAAGGATGCATTCTATGCAGCTAATGATCTTGCTATTTAAGGAGTCCCCTGTCACTTCTCCAGTCCTTTCCTCTGTCTGGTAAAGACTGGATAACAGAGTGATGTTTCAAAGGGGATATTTGAGTTAAATTGACAAAATTCATCATTCAAAAGCATATAAAATAATAATGACATCGGCTAAGTAGTGCAGCTCTAGTAACCAACGGACAGCGGCAGTAGAAGAGTCTTCAGCCCAATGAGTGATCTATTCTGCAAATACCTAAAGAATATATAAGGGATAACAAGCTATAAATCTTGGCTTAATGCACACATTCAGTGTATTTTTAGATATGATCCTAATTGTACATATTTATAACTAATTCAAGGGCTTTACTTTATTGCCAAAACCTACTTTTATCCATTTTGTATACATACATAAACAAGAGTAGAAATATGTTTTAATGAATTCTATTCATTTAAAATTTGCAATGCTCTTAAGTATCTGGAGAATTGAAAGTCAGCCCTTGTCAGTTCATATCCCAAAACTGTCTCTAAGTTAAAGTAGATTTACTAAAACCTAGGCAGTGCCCAGTCAAATCCAGACCTATGACTGAAAGAAATAGAATGCTTCTGTCCCTCCTTTCTGTTCCCTGGTTCTGAGAGATGTTCATGGAAAGCACTTTATGTTTGGCAGCCAGATGTTGGCATTCTGTCAATACAACCCAACAGAGGTGTAGGCAAGATGGGGAAATTCAGGAGTGTACTGATGAGAACATATGGGGCCATGAAAATTTTGCAGTCCAGATAGAATCTTTTCAGAATAACCATTTTAAAGTTTTATAAGCAATTCACCTTTTATTAACATCCTCTCTTCAATCTCCTTGCATTAATGCAATGATCTCAGAGATCTAATGACATGGCAAGGATGAACTTTATTACAATATGTAATAGTGGTGCTATTTCTTAAGAGAAACTATTGAGCCTACACTGTATGGATCCTCTTACATGAATCATCCAGTGGAAAATATACAGCTTTAAATTTTGGAAATTATATTTTAGAATTTTTGATGTTACACGTGAGATGTCTAGATAGAGTGGGACCCATATAATTTACCTTGGTAAACACTGATTTAAAAATAATATGAAAGCTTTTCAGCACTCAGAAGAGCTCTAAAGTGTTGTCATACGCATATGTGTCATAAGCTTATACATATACTTTTAGATCATGGTATATGTTTTACCTGACTATCCCACTACATGCCTTTTTGTCAAAGGGAAGTCAGAAGGAAGGATAACAAGCAAACTGGCTGGGCAGGGTGAAATATAATTAAAAGATCTTTTCCTTGGTCCTTTAATGTATTTCCTTTTTCTTGCCTTCTGAGGAATAAATTGTTCAAGAGGCTATTCATTCCTTCCTTGCTTGTGGTACTCTTAAATACAATTCACTAGATGCCGTTTAGTACCAAAATATTTTACAATCAGTACAATACCCAAATGATTGAGTTTGACAGTTGCCTTTTGGACTTTATTCATAACATCCATCTGCATCTGCCCACCATTTAAAAACTTTAATAGTAAATTATTTTTTTCCTCTGTTACTAGGAGCTTTTTTCTCATTCCAGACAAAATTCTTGAAGAGGTCAATTCCTTAAGACGTTAAAACACTCTAAATGCTAAACTTGCTTTTCATTCTTCAAGCTGCACATAAAATTCCTAAATTGTCAAGAGTTTGCTTTTTGGTAGGTCACACAATCACAAAGGTCTGACATGTAAAATTCTGGCTGTTAATGCGGTGATGCAGCCAACTGCTCCCATTCCATACTGTTGTTCCTAGTTGTTCCATAGTCTGTTTCTTTGACACCAATAGGTATTCCCTGAAATAGACCACACACAGAGAAGAGAAAAGCAGAAAGAGAAGCAGAGAAAAAGTCGCCAGTCTTAGAATGGGCTTCCTTGGTGACTTAGACGGGAAAGAATCCGCCAGCAATGTAGGAGACCGGGTTCAATCCCTGGTCAGGAAGATCCCCTGGAGAAGGGGATGGCTTCTCCACTCCAGGATTCTTGCCTGGAGAATTCCATGGACAGAGGAACCTGGCGGGCTACAGTCCATGGGGTCACAAGGAAGGGGACACAACTGAACAGCTAAGCACACATATCTGAAAATACTGTCATCACAGTGTTCAGAAAGTTTAGAAAACATGTCAGTCCCAAGTGGAAACTTATTCTGGGTAATAAAACAAACACAGTGATGTGAAATATTGGTATTTTATACTTTTTAATTAATAGATTACTATTCTCTAATTTAAAATAGGCTTTCCCAATTTCTAATGTAAGATCCAGTCAAAAAACTAGCAGCAATTCTATCTTAGTTTTGGCTTCAAAAACAAAAATCCCCAAATAATTTTATTCATTAGTATTTAAGGACAGCTGAAGAAGGACAGATATCCTCATCCTCATCCTCAAATCATCAGCCAAACATACTTTAATTACTCATCCTTCTAACATTTACCCCAAATCACACACTCAACCCTCACAACAGCCTATTAATCTGAGTGAGAGATTGGCCAAATGAGAACCTGAAAAGAATAAGCAACCTTTGTGTCACCTCTGTCGGGCATCCCTGTGGAATAAACTTCTAAGCAAAGGTGTATTTAATGATGGATAACACAACCTGGCCTTATTCTGAATTCTCAAATGTGTCCCTCCTCTTCCTAAACTTGCCAGTTAGCAGCTTTGGAAAGTTCTCAAAGGGTCTCCTTTTCTTGACAGAGTATAATTAGAAATGCAGATCCATTTTCCTTTCTGTGTTACATTGATCGTTAGATCAGATTAAAGAACATGCCTGTAGCAGAGGGTTCTGGAGAGTCAGGTGGATCCCATAGGCACCTTTTGGAAAAGATATTTACAAGAAGTCCCCTGAATCAGTTTCCATTGTGTTTCTATGATCCTTAATTTACATCTTTATTTTATGTCTCTTCATTTGCAAGGAAAATTAACCTGTTTTCTCCTCTTTGTTTTTTGCTTCTTTCTCTTTGCAGGAGGCATTGAATTTTTCAGCAGAGACCTTCAGAAGACGTATTGCAGGATTCTGTAATAATGAACATGTGGAAAGTATTAGAAATATTTATTGTCTGTAAATATTGTAAATGGCATTGGAATAAAACTGTCTCCCCCATTGCTCTATGAAACTGCACATTGGTTATTGTGAATATTTTTTTTTTGCCAAGGCTAATCCAATTATTATTATCACATTTACCATAATTTATTTTGTCAACTGATGTATTTATTTTGTAAATGTATCTTGGTGCTGCTGAATTTCTATATTTTTTGTAACATAATGCACTTTAGATATACATATCAAGTATGTTGATAAATGACACAATAAAGTGTCTTTATTTTGTGGTTGATCTTAATGAATGCCTAAATATAATTATCCAAACTGATTTTCCTCTGTGCATGTAAAAATAGCAGTATTTTAAATTTGTAAAGAATGTCTAATAAAATATAATCTAAATTACATCATGACTCAGAAGGTGAATTTTATGTATATATATATCCTTTAAGATTTCTAGTAGAAGGAACATGATGTAATTTTTAACCATATTTGAATATGGTCTTAAGTTTAATATATTTATATTGGTACAAAGTCCAACATTTTCACATTAGCTGTTAGTTTAAAACCACTTAAAATGTGGTTTTAATTATTTTGTCCAATATTTAAGTTCAGTTCAGTACAATGGCTGAGTTATCTAGACATCATTTTATGAAGTACATCCTATTCAAAGTGAAGAGTGGAGAGGGCAGAAAAAAAGCAGAGAAAAGTCAGAAGAAAAAAATTAAAGAAACTTAGTCCAGAGAGTTAGCCGGAGATGAAAAACAGGGAGAGAGGATGATCAGGAACTTTAAGGCCAGGGGTAATTTTACCCAGTGTAAGGTTTAATTTGAGAGAGCTTGCCCTTATGGGTCAACAGTAAGAGCTGCTTGAGAATTCTACCTGGGTTAACCTTTCCTACCAGTGAATGAAGAAGGACTCAGGTTTGGGAGATATGTGGCAATTCAAAGAGCATTCACTGGTGAAGATGTCTTTCCTGGGACACTCCACTTCCAGGGACCATGGTTGCAAAGAGCGCATATGTGATACCACACTCAATCCCCTTTCCATTTTGCATATCATCCTGGTTGTTCCTACTTCTATTTTCAAATGAAAACACAAACACCTTCTTTCCCCAGAATCTTTTTCTTTGCATCTGAGAACTCATCAGTGAAAAACCACACAGCAAAACAAAAGGCCATTAGGAAGTCGTTTGTTTGGTCTCAGCATCATGTTAAGAATCTGTTAGATGTCTGGTGGATACCCAGAAAGTTCTAAATGCCCCCAAGACTCTCTCTCCAGTGGGTAGAGAATACATACATGTACATGAAACAACTAAAATGATGTACTCAAGAACCTGAGATAATCCAAAATTCTAAGAACTTTTAAAAACGGGGGAAAATCACATAGGGAGAGATTAGTCTGAGCTGGATATGAGTAGGATAATGTTCCTGGGAGGAATATTCTAACACTGAACTTATTCATAATTTCACTTGAGGCTCACAGCCTTGAAAACAGGACCCATCTTACTATTTTGGGTAAGAATGTTGAACCGAGGACTTCCCTGGTAGTCCAGTGGTTAAGACTTTGCCTTTCAATGCAAGGGGTGCGTGTTCAATACCTGATTGGCGAGCTAAAGTCCCACATCCCTCGTGGCCAAAGTACCAAAACATAAAACAGAAGCAGTATTGTAACAAATTCAACAAAGACTTTAAAAATGGTCCACATCCAAAATAAATCTTTTAAAAAATTTTTGAAAATTAAGAATGTTGAACACATGTTAGTAAGCAAACAAGAGAGTTTGTGCTTATCTTCAATTATGAATTTGTTGGATATTTGTAAGGAATGCACAGATGTTAAGCCCAATACACTAAACTTGTATAAAGCAACTAGCTTGGAAAGTCTTAAAACCAGATATAATCACATTTTTTCAAAATTCTGTCTGAAACTCTAAATCTTAAGACTACATCAAATCCTTATGTTATTCACATGAAAACTTTTTTTTAAACACTAAATTGGTAAATACCTGGACATTACAGCAGGGAAACATCAGATTCAAGTCATTTTTAAGCTTTTCTTCACAAAAATCTATTCCTGAAAAATAAAAGCAGAATTGATAGCTATCAGTTCTGACCAAAATATTATTAATGCATTTATTAGCTTCAATCATATCTTCAGTCTTCAGGCAGTGATGAGCAGTAAAATCACAGCATAGGGGATGGAATGGGATGATGGAAGAAGCAAAAAAATTCCTTTGGTGGAAAAAAGTCATTTTTTGATATTGTTATTTCCTATGAAAGAAAAACTGAAATATATAATTTAAGATAATAAGTGTTTGAATGTAAATAAAGTCTTAGCAAATTACAGTCTAAGTGAACATGGTTCAGGCTTGACTTAAGTAATGTTTTAAATAAACTCAAGTTGGACTAAGTATTCAGAAATTAAAAAATAAAACCTCATTTACTAACTTGCTATTGCCTTCCTCAAATTTTATTCAGACAGAAATTTTATATTTAATTAGACTCCTAATACACATTTATGGACACTGGGGAGTCCAATTACAGAAGACAAGAGTTGAACTTATGTATGAAGACCTTATTCCTTTCCTCTCTGTTTTCTTAGCCATTGTTGTGAAACAGGTGCAGGACTACATTAAGTGCTGAACCCAAATCAGTGTGGACGTTATTGGTCCTGAAAATATTATAAAATCATGATTGGTATGTCCCTTTCTTGTTACAAAAATTAGTTGGGAATGGAGGCAGCATCAATCTGTGAAATATAGAGAAACTGAAGCTTTTCTTAGGAGAAAGCATAGTCACATACCTTGAAGGTTAAGAGTTTAATTTTAATTTCCTATTACCTAACCTTAGTACCTATTGAGCAAAGTAGCTATTTAACTTTCTATAACCACCATACAAGGACAAAGGGAAGGAATCGTTTTAAAATTCAAAATGTTCTTTAATATACCATGTGTAGTGGACCCAACCAGAAGCACAAACTTAAGTGTTTAATTTTATCTCATAGTCAAGTCATTCAAGAAAGCTCTGAAATACGGTTTAAAAGATGCCCAAAGTGCTTAAAGAACAAAGCTAATGCCTTTTGTAAGAAATTCTGAAATGCTTAGACCATCACAGGGCATTAACTTTAAGATAATTCAGAGCTTGACTCTAGAGTACCTTACAGTTTAATTGCTATTTTTCCCATTGGCCACGAAGTCCATGGGAAAACAGAACCAGCCGTGGACAGAGAAATATGTCGAAATTCGGAGGGTTCATCTTCTGTGGCATGCACTTTTATGGAGAGATCTAAGTGTTCCCAGGAAGTATTCCCAGTAGAGCCATCATTTCTTCCTTAAACAAAGGTTAAAAGACATTCCAAGCACAAATGTTGGCCACTTCCTTTTATTTAATAACCCAGAAGGTGTTAAGAATAAGACTACTATCAAAGATTCTATTATACAGTTAGCAAAACATGACCACGTGCTAAATTCCTCAGAAGGACTCAACTGAACAACACTCAGAGGAGGTATTAAACATCAGTAGCTATGAAGATTCCAAAGGCTGAAAATATTACTTCAGTGAATTATATTATCATGTGTCCTGAGTCAATCCTTTAAGAGAAGCACTATTCCTTCAAAGTTGCCAGTGTTACTTCACTAATTATTTTGTGAACTTCTTAAGGACAGGAACCTTGTCTTAGTCAATATACACCATCCAACACTACATTAGTACACTGCCTTAGTACATAGCAGGTGCTCAAGAAATACTCCCGGAACAGACTTTAAAAGTTCTTTCAGTTTCAGGATGAATAGACTAAAAAGCAGAGTTAAGCAGAAAAGTCTGCTGGAGGCAGGAGGTAAATCAGAGGTTTGAGTATTTCAGATTCCTGTGCCATGCCATTCTCTTATTTCAATAGCAAGAAGCTCAGAGAATGACTAACTGCTCCAAGTTATCAACTACTCACCAGGGTATGCTTTGTTTTTCAGCTTCTGCCTTAAGAGGAAATTTTCCAGCCTTGAAAATACAAGAAGCAAGGGTTTGTGTTGAGTATGCAGCAACCTCCCAGAGGAAGGGAGGAGAATTTAAAATATCAGGTATTTGTCCTATGAATACACTGCACAGAAGTTACCCACAGGGCCCACTTGTGCTCAAAGAGGCCCACTGCTGTGTCGTCAGAAGATTAATGGACACAGTTCCCAACTAGAGCTCCACAGCATCAGGATGAGAGCATTCACATCTCTGTATAAGTTCCTGATACACGCACGCTTACAAGCGCAAAGCACAAGGGACATGCTTTCAAACTGCTTTTTAATTAAACGTCAAAACATCTGCCAAAGAATTTCTTTACGTTTTCCTCCAAACTGGAAGACGTTAACAAATGACACAATGTGTCATCTCTGAAAAAATGGATTGTTTTAATGGTGACCCCTACTCTTCGCCAAATCCAAGTTGCTTCGGGATCTGAAAAGCAAACTAACCCATCCATCTTATATTTGAGCTCACTGGCTGGTCACCAAACATCTGCAGAACACCTCTGTTGAACCGCCCTGTGTTCTACAAAATAAAAGCAAAATAATAACAAACTGCACCACGGTGGATTTAGTAATTCTGTTTTCACATTACTCTTTCTTTTATTCACTATGAGCTTTAGTATAACTCTTGAGTCAATGTAGAATACAAACAATACCATGAAGTGTTGTATCATAGCTGTCTATGGGTGAAAGAAGCTAGAAAACAGGCATATTGTCAAGAATTTTTTCTTTCGGATGACAGAGTGAGATATTCTTAATTCATCAAGAATTAGAAATCCTATTCCATAGCATTATTTTATGACATTATAACAACTGGTATGCCATAATGAATAAGTTAACCTAACACATTACCTCATATGAGAGCTAATGCTTGTTTTCAACGAGCTCACTAAGCCTAGGTTGCAATCCTAATTTACACTCTAATCTTTCCAAGCATCTCATGAGGTGTCTCCATCTCACAGACGATGCATTTTTCCCCGAGACTGATTAGACAGTTTACCCAAGAGCATAAGAGAGGTCACAGGGCAGAGAAGGGACTCCAAGCCAGGGGCTCTGACTCTGGGTTCAGAGTCTGAGGGCCGGTGCTACAGTGTTGCAGCAAAGCTTGAGGATCTTCCAGACAAACCTATTTTAGTCTTGCTTTCGGTGAGTTCAGCGAAATCATGGGTTTGAGACGATCCTTTTTTGCTCTTCTCTCTACTGTCTGAGAAGGCACTGTTGACCAGCTTCTTTCCTCCTTTCCTCCTGGCACCTTCTAAGGCTGACTACAGCCCTCTATTCCACAAAGCTCATAAACTGCTCTCTCCTCCTCTCTCTCTCTCTCTCTCTCACACACACACACACACACACACACACGCAGAGCCAAGGAGCCCAGGTGTTTGCATAGGCCCATGAATG